CCTTCCCCCCCTCCCCCCCCCACCCCCCTCTCCTTCCCCTCCTCCTCTTCCACGACTTCCGCCTCCTTCAATTGCAGGCCACGTTCTTCATATCTCTCCTTCTCTCCTCCCCTTCTCCACATCTGATGGATATCCCTCGCCTCCTCACGCTGCTCCAGGAATGCTTCGATGGGCGAGGACCAAGGCGCTGGTGGTGGCGAGGAGCAGCACGGGCATGCTCAAGGACAAGTTAGCACAGACATGGCGACGGCTCTTCGGCTCTCGCGCTGCTGCCGGAGATCGCAGGGGGTGAAGGAGCAAGTTGACATGTCACGTGTAATGTAACAAACAAGGGGGGGAAGTCTTGAAAGACTTGGAGGTAGCGTCAGGAATGCGGGCACGACCTAGGGGTACCTAGAGGCACTGTGAAGGCTCGGGGGGAGGGGTAGACTGTCGAGCAGCTTCACACATCCTGAGTTGCCGTCAAGTCAACTGATCAAGTCACTTGGGACGGCAGTTGTCAGTCAGTGAGTTCGTAGTGACTCTCTTGGATCGCCGGGATACCCGGCCGCGGCTGCCCCCCCACGGCCCCCCTCTCCGAGGCTCCCCCCGGCGGGGCCCCCGCCGGTGACCTCCGAGTCGTCCGGGCCTTGCAGACTCGCCGGTAGGCCATCAGGCTAAGCAGCGTGACCAAGCGCTTGCAGGCACTCAGAAGTTGAAGTGATCACGAGACAGTCACGGCGCAGCAGCAAGTCGTCGAGTCATCTGGATGCGAGGGTCACGGCAGCGAAGAGCCTCGGAGCTTTTCATGTCCACCGGTGTCGTCGTGCAGTCACGTCAGCATACTCAAGGGACACGAGACCGTGTCGTTTCTTTACCGCATCGCTAGACCTCCGTAACTCTCCACCAGTCACGAAGACGTGACTGCTGTACAGTTACGTCGAGTCTTCATCGTCAACAAGAGCCTCCGTCCTCAGCCTCCCTCGCCAGCTCTCCTTCCCTACCATGCCTCCACCTGCCCTTCATCCCTCCCACTCCTCGACCTCCAGTCACAAGTTTACTCCCTCCTCCGCCTCTCCGCCTCCTTCGGACTTCCCCCCCCTCCCTGCTTCCCTTCCCCGTCCCTCCTCCTCCCCGCCTCCCCCCCGCCCCTCCCTCGGCTTCGGCCCCTCCCGCAGCAAGCAGCTTGACGCCCTCCAGCACGCCATCAAGCTCCTCACCGACCCCGACAGGCCCGACGCCCTTGGGTCCCTGCTGGGCTGCACCTTGACGGTACGGGAGGGCCGGGAGCAGCTGAAGACACGCGGCGCAAACATTGTCATGGTAGAGAGAATAGCATCTACACCTTGGAAACACCTTCCATGAATATTGCTGGGCTTACATATTCTACGACTCTTGTCCGACAGCATCTAGACCTTATGTATCTGTCACGATGGCCCGTCCATGCAAGCAAGTCTGCGGACCTGTAGTCGATGCTGCCGTCGCCCACCCAGTCGATTCTGCCACCGCCCACCTAGCTAGCCAGGGAAGGCAGCAAGGATTGCTCGGAGATGTCAGCAGTTCTCTCCTTTGGATGTGTTTGTCATGTTGTATGATAGCGTTGTGTAGTTATTTCTAGATATCATTTTGTACATCTTCTTTATCTGGATTTCTCCCAACAGACAATGAAGGGGTTTTGGGAGCTAGGCTCCGTAATGTATTGCCATGATTACCGTGTCTGCAAAAGCTTCTCTTGTTTCTGCTACACACGCGAGCTCCTTAGCGTGTTGAAGACCACTGTCAGTCAGCTATGGGAATGGGGCAGGAACAAAGCTCTGAAAGTAGGTGCTTGAGGCAGTATGACGAGTCTTTCTGAACATTGAAGTTCTCCTTTTGAACCACGTGAAGGTGGATTCAGACGGTGACAGACTTTATTTCAGAATGCAAGGCGACATGTACTTCACATCAACAACGCTCGAGGATGATTTGCTTAGCACAACTGTCCTGTAGCTGATACGTAAGGGTTACAGCTAGTTGCACCATTGATCATGAGGTTTGGTCTTTTCGTCCGAGTGCAGTTGGGCTGGAAGATGACTGCCCAACACTGATAGTAAGAAGCTGATAGCGACTGCAAGGAAACAGAGCAATCACGGACATCAGAGTCCATCTTCTCCAAATTTCCTGTTCCATACCACAGAGATACATTTCCTGAGCAAGACGATGGATCATTAGGGATGTCGAATGTGAAGAGCACAAATTTCAGCTGCATGTATTTCCAACCATCCGTTCCGATGTAGCAGGACGACGAAAGAGTCGAGACGAGCTTCAAGGCTCCGGGATCACTGTCGTGGACGATCAAGTCAAAGCTGACAGGTGTGCCTGTTGTTAAATTTCTGGCAGGTGAAGAGAGCCGAATCATCTTTTCCATGTTTGTAGATGGAACGTACAGATCCACGCTGTCTGGATTAAAGAACATCATCACCTCTATCAAATACAACACCAAAGAAGCTTCCACAACGTTTCCTGAACACGGATGTTGCACAAAAACGACATTGAAGCTGTTAGCAAGCATCAAGCATTTCTCGCATTGCTGGAAGATGTTGTCACCCCACAACGGTGAAACTGAGAGGAGAGTTGCTCGGACATCTTTGCAGTGGAGGAAGGAGGTGGCGGACTGAGCGAGCTCGGGTTGAACCGCGAGGCATACGATCACTATCAGACTCCATGGCCCCGTGTACATGCCGAGGAGGAACGGAAAATGTCGGGGTAGGGTGGGTGAAACACCCGTCCATTGTTGCTGTAAGGACCCTACCTTGTAGGTTTGTAGGGCCGCAACCTAAAAGGTAGGGTCCCCTGGCTCGTGGTCGGTTGAGCTAGGAAGTGAGCGTTGCAAAGAGACATGGCTCCATGCGCTGTGGTCTTGCTGTTGCTGTTGCTCCTGCCCATCACTTGCTGTCAACAATATCTCAATTGCGACAAGCTTGCTGTGACACAGAAATACCTCTACTCCAATTGGGGGATATTGCATGATAACTGTGAGACATGTTTGCAAGGAACCGAAGCGACGTTCATGGCAGAGCATCCATGCGACAAGCAAGTCATGAACGCGTTTCTCCTCTTGAAAGAAGTTTCTCATCTGTTTTTTTTCAAACAGGACAGCGTCGATGTGTTCTTAACAGATGTCATATCCGGGGCGTATCTGAGCATAACAACTTCCTCGCAGGCTTCTTCGGCTACACCATTTTCCATTCCCATCATTGGAAACACCACTGGAGTCCAAGACATCATGGCGCGTTACCCATCTGAGTGCAACATCAATCTCAATGCGCTCCATCCAACTCTCAAGGATATCATGCTTGAAAAGCAAGGCATTGCAGAAAAATGCTATTCACTTCAGTCATCTGGCCAATACAGTGCAGTATGCTCTTCTCCGGAGTACAGCAGCAGCTCGTATTGCAATGGGTTTTTGGAGATGTGGTACGGTGCAGGACGTGCAGTAAGCATCTCGCAGGAGTTTGAAGCTTGCTCAACATTGGTGCAGATGGGAAACACCTCCCAGGAATATTGCTGGGCTTACATATTCTACGACTCTTGCCCGACAGCATCTAGACCTTATGTATCTGTCACGATGGCCCGTCCATGCAAGCAAGTCTGCGGACCTGTAGTGGATGCTGCCGTGACCTACTCAGCTTACCAGGGAAGGCAGCAAGGATCCTTTGGCCCATATCTCAATTGCGACAAGCTTGCTGTGACACAAAAATACCTCTACTCCAATTGGGGGATATTGCATGATAACTGTGAGACATGTTTGCAAGGAACCGAAGCGACGTTCATGGCAGAGCATCCATGCGACAAGCAAGTCATGAACGCGTTTCTCCTCTTGAAAGAAGTTTCTCATCTGTTTTTTTTCAAACAGGACAGCGTCGATGTGTTCTTAACAGATGTCATATCCGGGGCGTATCTGAGCATAACAACTTCCTCGCAGGCTTCTTCGGCTACACCATTTTCCATTCCCATCATTGGAAACACCACTGGAGTCCAAGACATCATGGCGCGTTACCCATCTGAGTGCAACATCAATCTCAATGCGCTCCATCCAACTCTCAAGGATATCATGCTTGAAAAGCAAGGCATTGCAGAAAAATGCTATTCACTTCAGTCATCTGGCCAATACAGTGCAGTATGCTCTTCTCCGGAGTACAGCAGCGGCTCGTATTGCAATGGGTTTTTGGAGATGTGGTACGGTGCAGTACGTGCAGTAAGCATCTCGCAGGAGTTTGAAGCTTGCTCAACATTGGTGCAGATGGGAAACACCTCCCAGGAATATTGCTGGGCTTACATATTCTACGACTCTTGCCCGACAGCATCTAGACCTTATGTATCTGTCACGATGGCCCGTCCATGCAAGCAAGTCTGCGGACCTGTAGTCGATGCTGCCGTCGCCCACCCAGTCGATTCTGCCACCGCCCACCTAGCTAGCCAGGGAAGGCAGCAAGGATTGCTCGGAGATGTCAGCAGTTCTCTCCTTTGGATGTGTTTGTCATGTTGTATGATAGCGTTGTGTAGTTATTTCTAGATATCATTTTGTACATCTTCTTTATCTGGATTTCTCCCAACAGACGATCAAGGAGTTTTGGGAGCTAGGCTCCGTAATGTATCGCCATGAGTGATAATACTGTGCCTCCGAAAGTTTCTCTTGTTTTCGCTACATACGCGGGCTCCTTCGCGTGTCGAAAACCACTGTCAGTCAGCTATGGGAATGGGGCAGGAACAAAGCTCTGAAAGTAGGTGCTTGAGGCAGTATGACTACTGGAACCTGACCCACCAGTTTGCGAGGGGAAGGAGGGTATAGTAGAGACAAGGAAGGTGGGAGGGAGGGAGGAGAAGAGGGAGGCTGTCAGCCAAGGTCAGCACACGAGGAGTTGACGTCAAGTATCTTAGTGTCAGCAAGCTGCTTGACAGGTACGTGAGTTGCTGGACAGCTTCTGGTCCTTCATGGTCCTGGCGACGTCAAACTTTCTCTCGGCTGACGGGCCTTCACTCACTGGTACCGTTGGCAGTCGCAACCTCAGACACAAGGCAACCTACTTGTTTTCTTTCTGCCGTCTATCAGCTGCCTCCTCGAAACTTGCTGCTGTAGACCAAGGCGTCATCGGGCCAGTTTGCAAGAGACTTTGTCTTTTGAAGCAGCATCCATGATAAAAGAGATGTTGAGTTGTAAAGGCGTCAACATAACCAATCCAACTCCATGACGCCTCTGCCTTCTTCAAACATCTCTACCACCATCTCACGACTATCCGTGGAGTATCTCACCGCTACCTGTCGACTATCAGCCTTGAACACTCGGCTAGAGGCGATTGCCGAGCTGAGCACCAATACACAGACTCGTCGAGCAATCTAGTAGTTGTTACTTGATCGGTTATTCGCTATTACTGGAACCTGACCCTCGAGTTTGCGAGGGGGTTTACAGCAGTGCGGCCGTGACTCCAACAGGCGTCACGGCAACCGGAGCATCCGGAGTTAACCTGCTGGGCAAGGCTACGGTACATGATAAAGTCCCCGTCGGTCACGGCTACGTCAGTTTGCCGGAGTTGCAGGTTTACCGTGCGCTGTCACTGGCTGTGGTAAAGACTCATATCCATCTATCCTCGTGGCCCTCCGCCACTTCTTTCTTGAGCATGTTCATTTGACCCTGGTCAAACACGGACCAGTCACGATACCAAGATACATTTGACGGCTGCTAGCTCCGAAGAGGCAGTGGCACGACGTCAGTAGTAAAGATGCGATTCCCCTAGTTGCTTCCCCTACAAGGATCGAGGTCCCTTGCCTGTCTTGCAGCGTCAGGCATCAACCCCGACATGACTCTCCTTCCCTCCTCCCTCCTCCTCCCTCCCTCCTCTCTCCCTCCTCCCTCCCTCCTCCGCATTCGCCACCTTCCTCGTCCACTGCATGTGCTGACGGCTCCTCAACTTCCCCTTCTTCCCCTCCTTCGGACATCCCCCCCCTCCCTGCTTCCCTTCCCCGTCCCTCCTCCTCCCCGCCTCCCCCCCGCCCCTCCCTCGGCTTCGGCCCCTCCCGCAGCAAGCAGCTTGACGCCCTCCAGCACGCCATCAAGCTCCTCACCGACCCCGACAGGCCCGACGCCCTTGGGTCCCTGCTGGGCTGCACCTTGACGGTACGGGAGGGCCGGGAGCAGCTGAAGACACGAGGCGCGAACAAGGGCGGAAGGGAAGGGGACGTAAGGAAACGAGTGTCGTCGATGTAGGATGAGGGGTATAGTAGCGAGAAGGAAGGAGGTGGAAACAGATAAGGAGGGCATGAGTGATGTAAGAGTAAATGACAGATGATCGTCTAAGCATCTGTGTTCCGACACAGCTTCGCACATGAGGGACATCATCAAGGATGTGAGAGCAGTTGTAGATTGAAAGCCATGCACTAGTCGATCAGCATGTGCAATGGAGATCTATGTAGCTGCATGGGGCGTGTTGTCACTAAGTCATATAGAATGTTTTATTGTCTAAGTCATGCCTGCTCGAAACTTGATGATGGTACTGCTGTGAGATGTTGACAGAGCTCTGCCTGACGCCCATGGATCAGACATCAACTTCTATCTCGCGATGGAGCTGCGGATCGTGCAGCACGACTTGTTGTGAGGGGTATCAACCTGCCTTGCCAGTCACTGCTGTATGATTGCCCTGCCGTATTATCAGTGCCGTACCTCCACTTTTACTACCAGGACTTGGGGAATGTGAAACGCTGTAAGGCTGCCATGAGGTACTAGAGAATCTTATGAGTCACGGGCACGATCTCTGAAACGTTGCGTCTTGTGAGCACGGAAGAAGACTCCGAAGAGGTCGGGAGATGCGGAGGTACGTTCGCCCACTTTAAGTAGACTCGCTCCCTCCTCTCCCTCGCCACCACCACCACATCCTCCCTTCCCATCCTCTGCACGTCTGTCTCTTACACGTCCTCCTTGCTCTTTCCCTCCAGCTGTTTGTGAGTTTGCTTCCTATCTCAATCGCGATGACTCCTCTTCCCACTTGTTGTACAGCTAGCTCCCTCCCCTCTCCTTCAGCGTCCTCCTCTCAAGACAAGCCTGCAGCCAACATCACCCAGGATCTCGACCCTTCGACCTCTCCTGCTTCCTCCTCCCTGCCTATCGATCCGCCTGCAGCACCAGCTCCAAGGCAGCGTCATGACTTTGGTCCCTCCCGCAGGAAGCAACTAGACGCCCTCCAGCACTGCATCAAGCTCCTGACTGAAGCCAGCGAGCCCGAGGCTCTGAGATTCTTGACGGACTGCGCTTGGAATGAACGACGGGGCGGAAAGAGACTGGAGTCTTCATCAGCATGTTCACGACTGAATATGAACACATCTTGATAGACTTGCATCGCAATAAAGTCACATCTCCCGGATGATTGCATCTCAGCCAAGTCACAACTCAGTCAAATCACATCTCCATATGATCGAATGTCGATATGACAGGCTTTAATCAATCAAACGTGATCCTGATCTCGTACAAGACTTCTTTACAACTTCTCCACTCCCGATCGTCTCTGCAACGTCCACGACGCTATCTGTCAACACCAGCTGTAAATCCTTTCCTCGCAGTTATACTTCTGATGTCGCTAAATCTCTCCATGCCTTGTCAACATGACATGACTTGACCGACCAAGGTGTCGTAAACGTGCATCAGGTTGAAATCTAGTGATTTCAGCGGGGAGTTTATGTTGTGCGCTTGTATGACGCTGTCCTCGATTCAGCAGTTCATAGAGATCAAAACTTACAAGGAATAAACACAGGAAAAAACCTGCTGAAGGAAAGAGGAGCATTTCTTTCAGCAAGGCAATTGCGGGAGAGGCAGTTTCTTCAGTCCTTCTTGGGGTTGAGGAGCGTTTTGTGGTGGGTTTGGATGAAATACCTGAAGGTCTTTCAGTAACTTCCTTCAAGATAGCTGTCAACAACGTCCACCTGTGAATCATTCCGAGGAAGATCGCGAACCCTATTGCAAACACATGGAAAGCAACATGCCTGCAACAGCGCAAAGAGCAAGCATCATTGGAATGAGTAGGCTGTGACATGAAAGATGTCTCACTGGAATACGTTGAACGAATCCATGAAGGGATACCTGGAAACATCAGCGTCAGGGCGGGGGCGAACATGGTCGGCAGACTCACGGCCAGGTACCAGTGACGAAGAAGTTGGTCGTAACCAACGAGGAGTACCACAAGCCAAAATAGAAGTAGAAGACAAGATAGCTGTTGAAGCTACCGATGCTCTGGAACAGGATGTGAGTCTACGATCAGAATATCAGACTCCCTGACCTCCTTGACCTCCTTGGAGTCCATGATCAAGACGTCGATGATGGGCAAGATTGAGCTGAGGTCGGAGGTGTGAGAAGGAGAAGGTACCAGTCATTACATGTCCAACACAAGGAAAGGAGGACGAAACAGCAGTTGACACATCGGAGCAGAAAGAAGGGCGTATAAAATCAAATCAGGAGGACAAGAGTTTGTTGCCCCAATCTCACCAGGGTACGTGCAGGATGTGTTGATACAACCCGAAAGGGACTCCCTTTTCCTCAAAATTACCTCGCAGGAAAAGAGACATGGCCAGTACCTTAGCTTCATGGACAGCAACAACGTTGGTTTGAAACTGCCGGGGTGTTGTGTTACGAACTCTTCAGGAATCAAACATCTTTAAACACGATCAAACATCTTCAAACACGATCATCACCTTCTCGTTGAACCAACAGAACTTGTAGAACATGATCGTGACAAAAAAGCCCAGTCCTCCTGCCACCGCGATGCTGTCAGCGCCTATTTCGGCAGCTAGAAAATGACGATCATGACGAACCAGCAACGGGCGAAAACCAGTAAGTCCACCGTTTCAGAGCACTGACAGGTCAGTCACTCGGCATGCCAACATGCATCAGGAAACATGAATCACTTTGATCCGTTGCGTTGTGAGGGGAGAACTTCCATGATGAATCGAACAACAAAGTAGGCCGTTTGTATGTAAAGACATTGGACTGAAACTGCCAATCAAAACAAGAGACACGAGCAACCTCCACAGACCTGTCAAAAAAACCAACTTCCCCACAAAAGACTTGAGTAGGATTCTGAAGGAGCCAAGTCGTCAAGGATAGGCTTGTCTGATGCGAGCTCTCACGTCTCAAGCGTAGATTCAAGATAATCAGAATACAGCATGAAGCTTGCGCACAAAAACTGCAGTTGAAATAAGTGAGACTGAAGCAAGGTTTGATAATTCCGCCTCCTCCTCCACCACCACCACCACCACCACCACCACCACCACCATCGCTGGTTCATCCTCCACTCTCTACAGTTGCTCCTTTTCTTCCTCCTCTTGGTTCTATGCCTGTTGGATGATCGGATTGTGAGAGGAGTCGGTACCTCCCCCCGTAACTTCAGCAAAATTCAACGTTGATTAATTCAGGTGTGGTGAACGAACAACGTATATGCGATTATCAACTTTGATTCTCGTCATGAATGAATTACTGATTGTTCATCACAGCACTGATAAGACATCTCAAATTTGACAGAAGCATTACATGAGCGCATGCTAACCATAATCTTCCTCGCTGATTTAGCACCCCACTTGTGCCGTCGCGATTGATGATCCCTATTCCTGTGTTTGAGCTGATGTTGCTTCCTATCCCCGCTGATTATGCGCAACCTTATCTTCCCTTTCCTGATTTCACACAAAATACACACAGCTACTCATCATCCCCATCCTTTCCCTTCTCCTTGTCATCATCATCATCTTCTTCTTCTTCTTCTTCTTCTTCTTCTTCTTCTTCATCTTCATCTTCATCATCATCTTCTTCTTCTTCTTCTTCTTCTTCGTCGTCGTCGTCGTCGTCGTCGTCGTCATCCTTCTCCTTCTCCTTCTCCTCCTCCTTTTCCTCCTCCTTCTCCCTCTCCTCCCCCTCCTCCTTCTCCTCCTCTTACCAGTATCGCTGCTGATCCTGCTGCCATGTTACGTCGAAATTCTACCCTCCACTTGCGTGGTCGCAACACCACAAGCAACCAGTACCCCTCCTTTGACTTGATAATGAAGGGGTGGTATGAACACAGGGGAAGGGGTGGAGGTACAGGGTGGGTGGTTTTGTGGTAATGTAACGGGTAGTGAGATACTTCGGATAGACCGAGACAGTGGTACGGGTAGTACAACATTATCAATACCTGGGTAGGGTACTCCAGTACCCCTTGTATTGACCCCATAAATATATCAACAGTACAGGTCATGGTCGAAATCTGCTCTAATTTGGTGGGTACTCATGATCACACTCTGCCTTAGGGTAGGTGGAGTTAGGGGTGTCGCACCACGGGTGATTTTGATACAGAAATGTACGGTGGTATCCAAGAGGCCGAATTCGAAGTTCAGACGGGGGGTAGGGGTAGGATAGGGTGGGATGCAAGTATGGATTGGAGGGGTACTGTAAAGGAGATTGAGTGGGTAGGGTACGGGAAAATCCAGGGGTGACAAGGGTGGTCAGTTCATGGATCCCAGCAAACCGCAATGGGCTGAAGGGCGGGAAATGCAGAGAATGATGCAGGGAGGGAGAGGAAGGGGAAGGGGAAGATGATGACGCTTGTGAACAGTGTCGATGGTGATGATGTCATTGATGAAGATATGAACATGGGGAGATGAAGATGATAGTGATGATCGAGTAATGATTTGGAAGGTGCAAAGTATGTTTCCATCTGGAGTGGAGAAAAGATCAGATGCCTCGGTTTGGCAGTGAAGATGAAGATCGTTTAAACGTATCATTGGGTATGCAAGCATATTGAAAGCGCAGCGCCAGTGCGAATGCAAGTCACGACATCTGACATCATATTGATGTTCCAGGATGAAGCGAGAATCGCTGCCTTATCCCTGAGACACGCGCTCTCCTCGTGAGATCCATGGCATCCAGTGAAGACTCGGATACAACCGAGATCTCCATGCTTCCCTCCATCGGTAGGCAAGAGCTCTTGACAGTTTGTGGCAGTGACTCGTTGTCAGAGGAGAAGGCCGTCAGGAAGGCTGAGAAGCGAAGGTTCAGACCTCCCATCGTGTGTCTTGCTTTCTCCTCGGCATCTGCAGAGGCGCTCACAATGGTGCGACTGCGTGCTGGGAGACGGGGACGAGGGGAGTGAGAGGTTTCTTTTCAGGTCCTGAAGACTGTCGGCTGGCAGTCAAGAGACGTGCTTTATGAGAAGAGCGATATCTTCTGGGTCTCAACGTTAGATCAGCTCTTGACAAGGTTGAAATGCATCAGCAACAGACAAGTTTGCTCCAGGATACCAGGGATGTACATGCTGTGCGACAAGTGCCCCTTCTCCAAGGTAGCTCCTTGCGTCCTTGACCTTAGTTGATCTTGTCGCGCCAGATGATGGGGAGAGGGAGGAGCATATTTCGGTCCTTGTATGACTTCTACCCCGAGTCGTGGCTGCTCCCTGACGACCTCAAGGCCCTGAGCAGCGCCTGCACCTCGACCAAGGAGTTCTCCATCATCGTGAAGCCAAACTCGGGCTCGCAAGGGGACGGGATCTTCCTAGTGTCCAGCTACGAGGACCTCGTGAAGCGGATCTCCTCCGCGCCGGAAAGAGATCTGATAGCTCAGAGATACATCGATCGCCCCTTGCTGCTCGACGGCCTCAAGTTCGACCTCAGGGTGTACGTGCTGATCAGATCCATAGAGCCGCTGGACGTCTGGATCTGCCACGAGGGCCTGGCACGGTTCTGCACGGACAAGTATCATTTGCCCAACGCCAGAAACCTGAGCAAAGTGACGAGCCACCTGACCAACTACAGTCTCAACAAGCTGAGCGATCGATTCGTCCGACCTGACAACTCCCACATGGAGCTGCAGAGTGACGGGGAGGCCGCGACTGGGGAGTGGGGGGAGGAACAGGAGAGGAACGCCTCCAAAAGGTCGATCAGCTACGTCTTCCAAGAGATCTCCAGGCTGGGGTACAACACGGAGTCGATATGGGAACAGATCCATGACCTGGTACAGCAGACCTGTCTCCTCCTCCGGCCCTCCTTGTGTGAGAGTATCTACGAGCTCAAGGCAAGGGACCCAGGCTTGGCAGGGACCTCTTACTCCGGGGGGCCGAGCTGCTTCCACCTGCTGGGGTTTGACATCATGCTGGATGAGAAGTGCAAGCCGTGGCTGCTGGAGATGAACTGCAGCCCCAGGGTCGGCATCGACGACATCGAGGTGGTTGCCAAGGGGACAGAGGCCGAGGGCGTCAAGGTCTGCAGGTGCATGGAGCACCACAGGCCTCACGTGCACTTCATCTCTGAGGTGGATAGGAGAGTGAAGCTGCAAGCTCTGGGCGGAGCTCTGCTGCTGGTCAGTGAAGGGTTCAAGAACTCCAAGGTACTTTCCCACGGGTTCCGCGCAGACAGCAAGAAGCACCAGGAGCTCCTCTCGCAGTACAAGCAGGTAGACAGTCCTCTTGCTCTGCTCGCGGTCGCAGCTGACATGCTGAGCTTCAAGATCTGTGGAGAAGGAGTGGAAGTTCAGCACAAGTGAGCAGTTGTGTGCACTTGTGCTGGTGATGACAGCAAGTTGCCGCAGGGAGCTTGCGCTCATTGACCGGCTACACTCGCTGTACATCAAGGTACGTCCTGATCGACACAGAACAGTGCTGATGGGGCTTTCAGGTGTCAGGGTGTAAGAGGAAGATGGACAGCAGCCGTCTCCGTTTTCTCGTCAAGGTGACGGCCGCGGCTCGTCACTCTTCCCTTGACCTGCTAGCCTGCAGGAACTCGGGCTGCCGCAGAAGGAAGTTCGGAACGCTCAGCTGACTATCGACTCCATCTCTCTGCGAGCAAGGGCCAAGAAGGCGGGACTGAGTGAGATGATCCTGTTGTCATCGTTGCTCTTGACGCTCCTGTACCATCAGCTGGGTTTGACGACTTTCTTGATATTCTTATCGCCCTCGGCCGATCGCTGTATCCCTCCCTCAGCACCTTCGGTGACATCACGATCTTGCTGCGATGCCAGGCCTTATAAGTTTGGTGCAGATGCGCTTACGGAAGTTTGTCGTTCTGTTTGATGAGTTGTTGAAGCATATTAGATGTATATGGATAGATTATTTCATTATTTATTACTCTGATGTAGATGATTGTTGTAGAATACACTGAGAGTTCACAACCCTAAACATTCACGCATCGATGAGAAAGTCATACTTGTTTTCACGAGGAGAAAGACAGTCTTCCATCGGATTCTGCGAGTGGCAGGAAGAACAGAATCGGCTCTTGTGCAGCAACAGCCGTCCCACCTCCTTCTCCTTCAGCTTTTGTTGTTTGCCTCTCTTGTTCGCTACCTCTTCCAGTATTGCTTCCACCTTCTGTTTCATCTCTTCCCAGTCGTCCTCCCCATCCACGTCCTCCAGTGTTGTCCGAAGTAAATTCAAGCTTCTCTCTACAGCCTTGCCCTCGTCCTCGCACTTGACTTCCTTGTTGCTCTTTCGCAGCGCAGTCTGCGTCTGCCTCTCAAGCTCAGCGACACTGGCTGAGATTCTATGCTCTAGATCACTGAGAGCGATGACCAGCCCTTCCTTCTCTCGCTCCGCATGCTCCAGCTTTGCCAGCAACGTCTTGCTCTGCAACGTGTCTTGGGTCTCGTAGGAACCCACAGAGCAGGCGAAGTCGGAGGCATCACAACAACTATCGAAGTCCCGAGGAGAGAAGAAGTTTCTCTTGGGGCTCAGCATTGAGCCGAAGGAGGTAAAATTCAGCTCCCTGCGAGGCTCCTTCCTTAACTGCGATGGGATGTCTCCCAATTCATCTTCCACGAGCAGAGGCGACGGGAGGGCGTCCTCCTCCTCCTCCTCGCCCTCCTTCTTGCCTTGCCAGCCTTGAAGGATCCAACCAGCATAACTGCTGGTCACTCTGCTGGGCGATATGCAGGGCGGTTGTCCAGCCATCGGCATGCTGCTGTCAACTTTGACTTGAAAAGAATCATCGATGATCTCGGACGAGAGCCTGGTCCTGACCCAACGTGCTCTTCCTTTCTGATTCGACGACATCAGCTCGAGCTCACCAGCAAGATCCTTACAGGTGTGTTTGAATCAGCTCTGCCTCAACCTCTACTTCCGTGGTCTTCGCGCTCTCTCAAACGCTCTCGTGCTCTTCAACTTCAGTCTCCTGCTCTGCTTCTGCTCCGCACGCCTTCCACAATCCCCTCTATCCGCGCTGTTTGTGAACTGTTCGATCCTCTACCTCGGAATATTCCTAGCCTTGTCTCCACAGCTCTCGTCCTCGTCCTCGTCCTTCTCGTGCGATCTTGTTGCTCCTGTACGGTCTGCTCTATGTGCCTGACCGCACAGTTTCGTCCTTACTACCGTTATAACCCCCTCCCCCTTTGCTAGGTCGCAGTGTAGCACCACCCCTACCCCTCCACCCCTACGTGTGAGTAGTACGCAAACGACCCCCTGACTTCTTGACTACCATTTTACAATAGTCCAAGTACCCTACCCTATGACTGTCATGGCCCCCCGACGGCGCCCCACGAGCCACTTCGGGGACCCGTCGGACCCCTAGTGCTGACGGCCACCAAACTAGTGGCCCGGTGTGGTACCACCCCACCCCTCCCGTCCCCTCCCGTCCCCTCGGGCGTGATATCTATTCTTGAAATCAAATGATATCATATCATAGTATCCACCCCCGACCCACCCCCACGAATTGGACCATACGATCCCCTATATAGTACCCCTACTTCTGACCTGATACCATACAGTCAGAAGTGATCATTTTCCCATCAACTCACCACCCCACCCCTACGAGGCATGATCAGTGATATAGAACGTGACTATCACCCCCTCCTTAACCATCACAATGCAGATAAAAGCACCTGTACTTGTCCCTCACTTCAGTCACTGTTTACCACCCACCCCCCGTAATTCAGTAATTTCAGGTTGTTGGTTTTTACCCTTTTTGCCTTTTTGGAGGCACTGGCTGGACTGCATGACCTTGGACCCCTCCCCCCCACAGAACATGGACTCACCTACCCCATCTTTTCAGGTTGAAAATACCCCTATATTCGACAGAAAGGGATGAAGGACCCGGTAGTCGAGTACAGATACTTCCAGCTCCATGATCTGCGGGTGGCCGAGGCTCTTTACTACTGGAGGTCACGTGGCGCCATAACTTTGACTCTTGTGATAAATCGTGTAACTCTGAACAGGTCACGCGCTTCCGAGGCCCGGCCGGCCCGCGACTCAGACAGGCCGCGGGCTCGTCACCGGCGTCACGCCGGGAAGTTCGTGACGGTCCGATCCGTCTGGCCGCGTCCGGGCCACGCCACGCGGCCCCCCGGGCCGGAGCCACCGTCACCGCGAGACGGTCCCCCGGCGCCGCGAAAACGGTCCGGCGGAGCGCGCGGGGCCGCCGCGCCCCGGCCGGGCCCGGGTTAGCCGCCCTAGTACGGGCCCGGTCGGTCGGTCGGACCCGCCCCACGGTCCGACACTCGGTATCACACGTCACTGACGTTCACGGTTGCTCACTGTACTACGGTAGTACGCGGCACTGCCGGCCGCCGGGCACTGCGGCACACTGGCACGGGCGCGTCACTGACCGTGGATCGGACCGCCCGCCGCGCCGCCGCCGGCCAGACGTCGGACGCCGGTGCCAGTTTGACCGGACTCCGGAGCCCCGGACGCTACCGCGGCCGTCGGACTGCCTGCCTAATCAGTAGTACGCCCCGGGACTCGGAACCGTCCGGCGCCCGGCCGCCGGGGCCGCCCCCGCCGTCACTAAAAAGAAGTCACGCAAGTTTGCTTGTCGGCCCCGCCCGGTACGGTAAAAAGAAGTCAAGTTTGCTTGTCGGTTCCAAGCCTGAGCCCGCCCCCGCCGAAGACGTACCAGTACGGTACCGCGGCGACATGGCATAACAAGTGGAAGGACGAGACCGTAGGACGGAGAGGAGCTAGAGGATGCCATGGCCATGGCGCCGGAGACAAGAAGAGTGAGGAGCTTCGGAAGGGCTTCCACTTGGTGATGGCGAGCATAGTAGAGGGGATACAGGTGCAACAAGTCAGCGAGACTGAGGTCGCAGTCTCGAGGGTAGTCAAGGTAAGGGCTGGACTTGCGGCAGGTGCGGGGGGAGTCTGAGAGTTCGCCACGCAGGGAGACGAGCTGGAGGACGTGGACGTCGAAGTAGGGGACCTCCTCTTCTCAGCTGGGTCAGAGAAGCTCCTGGGACGACCAGCCAAGGAGCAGGTACGAGCGTTTCCTCCTCCGGCCCTCTCCCTCCTGATCCTCTTATGCGCTCGCTGTAGATACGCAAGCTCTCGGAGGCAGCAGAGGACGACTTCCTGCTCCGTCTCTTTCCCCTCGTCTTTCTCAAGCCAAACAAGCGGTCAATCTCGTCTGCAAGCTGACATGGGGCTGACGGACGTTCTCCTGCTAGGCTGGTGGAGATCTCGGCGTCAGGCAAGGCCTCGGACAGGAGCTGGGAGGGATCGCCGTCCTCCGTCGCCTCTTCCACTCCCTCCTCCAAGTTCCTCTCTTCTCCTCGCCTCTCCTCGCCTCTCGCCGGCATCGGCGCCCTGGTTCAGGTACATACACTTCTCATCGCGACCCCTTCCCCTTCCTCTGCCAACGTCACCTGACCCACTCCTTGCTGTATAGGTGGACCAGCAGTCGGGGGAGTTTGTCGTCTCTGGCCTCGTCCCCAAGGCTCCTGCCGCCATGTCGGGCGCCATGCGCGTGGGCGACGTGCTAGTGTCGATCGACGGCTTCACCTTGAGCTACCAGCGGCCGGAGGAAGTTCTGCCGCTCATGCTCGGGCCCGAGGGATCCATCGCTAGGATCTGCTTGCGGAGGGAGGACCCGTCAGGGCAGGAGGTACAGGCAACCCTCGCTCTGCGATCCTCGTCCTCGTCCTCGTCCTCGTCCTCGTCCTCGTCCTCGTCCTCGTCCTCGTCCTCGTCCTCGTCCTCGTCCTCGTCCTCGTCCTCGTCCTCGTCCTCGTCCTCGTCCTCGTCCTCGTCCTCGTCCTCGTCCTCGTTTTCGTCTTTTGTCTGCAAGATTCTCGACCTTTCTTGTTTCTTCTTTTCTCTCCGCCTCCGCCTCCCCCTCCGTCCTCCTGACTTGCGAGCATAGTTCAGCTGCTCCCTCAAGATCCGCCGTGGACATGCTCTCCCTCGCTCTCCTGCTCATCCCGCGTCCTCTGACAGGGAGCTTGACGGTCTTGCTCGCAGGATCTTCGAAGGTGAGGGAGAGGAGAGGAGGACACTGTTGTGCTTTACTGACGTTCCGTGCAGATCAGTCTGAGGCGAGAGGGGATGGGGAGGAGAGGAGAGAGGAGGAAGACACGAGGGAGGGAGAGGAGGAGAAAGGAGAGGAGAGGAGGGAGAAGGAGGGAAATGAGGAGAAGAGGAAAGAGATGGAAGCGGGGGAAAGGAGGGAGGAGGAGAAGACGAGAGAGGAGGAGGTTGCAGTGGGGAATAGAAAGGTTGGAAGTACAGGAAAGACGGAGGAGGAGGCAGATGCCATGACGGTCGGACGAGGCTCAGGGACCGAGGATGGAACGAGGAAGAAGGCCGTGAAGAGGACGAAGATGGGAGGACGAGGAGCGATGCTGCCTGGCACACGCGTGGAGTTCGCAGAAAATGACTTGCAAGTGCGTGAGGAGGGAGAGGAGCCTTGGGGACGTGGCGCGGAGGAGGCGATGGCGGAGGAAGAGATCAGAGGGGAGGGACAGGAAGGAGGAGGGGACAGGGAGGTCTGGATTCTCAAGGAGCAGCTGCGGGAGGACCAGGAAGGCACGAGGACGAGGGCGAGGGAGAGGGTGGGAGGTGGGGAGGCACCTGAAGAGGAAGGGGAAGACCCACAGGTTAGAGGAGGAGCAGGGGAAGGAGGAGGGAGGGGAGAAAAGATCGTAGGTGGCGGGAACGAAGCCGAGGCGACGGAGGAACTGGGCGTCGAGCAGGCTGAGGGTGACAGAGAGCAGAGGGCATGGATACAGAGCAAGGATGGACAAGGCCTGATAGAGGAGGACGCGACAGTGAATGAGGAGGAGGAGGAGAAAATGGAAGTCGAGGGGAAGAACGGCGGAGGGGAGATCGAGATGGCGAATGGACAATCGGGAGGGCAACGAACGAAGGAGGAGGAGGGGGAGGAGGAAACGAAAGGCAGAAATGGCAGCAGGGCGAGGGAGTTTGAAGTCGGGAAGGAGGCTGATGGGGAAGGAGAGGGCACTGCTGGGATGATGCCAGCTCAGAAAGAGGAGGAGGGAAATGGAGAGATATCGATACTGCAGGGCGAAAACGGAGAAGAAGATTATGACGAAGAGAAGTTGCCGCAGCAGGGACAGCAGCCGGAGGAAGAGGAGCAGCAGCCGGAGGAGGAGGAGGAGGAGGAGGAGGGGGAGGGGGCCAGCAAAGAGAAGGGAAAAGTGAGAGCGATGGTTAAGAGCGGGTGTGTGATGATGAACGGAGGAGGTGAGGAGAGAAATGCTGTGACGTGGAATGAAGAGGAGGCAAGAAGTGACCATGAGCGGGAAGGACCAAAAAAGGATGAGAAAGGGAGGGAGGCGAACAGGAACAAGAAGGAGGAGGAGGAGCGGAGGGAGGAGGAGGAGAACGTTGAGAAGGAGGAGGAGCAGGTGTACAATTTTGAGGATAATGATGCAGATGCAGATGCTGATGCTGATGCTGATGAGAAAGAAGAAGAGGCAAAGGAGCCAAAGGAGCCAAAGGAAGAAAGGGAAGAGGAGGCAAAGGAGGAGGAAGAGGTTGAGCTGGAGCGGGAGGAGGAGGGCAGAACTCTGGCAACAAAGGATCGGTATGCGGAGGAGGAGAGGAACGGTGGAGTCAGGACGGACCTGAAGGCTGGAGCCGATGTTGCCAATGACGAGGACGGCAAAGAAGCAAGCAATGGCAGCAACGAAGATAAGGAGGACGATGCCGAGGAGGAGCATCGACAGCAGGAAGATCTGAAGTTGAAGGCGGTGGTAGAGGAACATGCGTTTGTGTATGGTTATGTCAACGACGACGACGACGACGACGACGACGACGACGACGACGACGACGAGGACGACGAGGACGATGACGACGACGACGACGAGGAGGAGGAGATGAATCTGCTGATTGGTGTGCATACTCCTCGGCAAAACTGTCGCATCTTGTACGTTGAGGACCAGGAAGATAAGGGGCAGGAAGGGTATGAGGACAACAGACGCCCCGCTGACAAAGCAGAGGAAGGAGAGGAGGAGCGAAGCGAAGCGAGGGAATGGAAGCAAGGGTTTGCAGCTGAGTCAGAGTCAGGAGCAGGAGCAGGAGCAGGAGCAGGAGCAGAGGCAGGAGCAGGAGAAGCAAGAGGAGGAGGAGAAAGGAAAGGGGAATGGCGATCGGAAATCGGAGGAGGCGGGGTGACAGCAGCAGCCGCAGGGGGGAGACACGCTCTCGGGGGCGGAGGCGACGATGGTGGTGGTGGTGGAGGAGGAGCATCCGAAGTTGAAGGAGAAGTCCCGCCTGTGCGCTACGAAGAATTCGGCGGAGTCTTTCCAGCGGAAGAGCAGCGAGTCGGAGGGACGAAGGCATGGAAGCTCCACGAGGAGAAGGAGAGGCGGGTAGGGCAGGACAGGAAGCAGGAGGGAGGAGTCAGGAAGCAGGAAGGAGGACTGGAGTTTCGTCTCGGAGCTGTACAGGAACCAAGAGGAAGCAACCTTGTCATGCTGTCAGTTGTCTTCCTCCTCCCGTCTCCCCCCCCATCCTGTTTCCTGCCTTTTTCACTCTCTTGCCCTCTCCTACTACCCATCTCCTCCCTCTTCCTCTTCCTCTCCCTCTCCCTCTCCCTCTTCCTCTCCTTCGCCTCTCTATTCTTCCACTCTCCGTTCCCAACCCGGCCCGCTATCCTGCCCCCCCTCCCCCCCGCTGTTCCCTCTCCTCCCCCCCCCTTCTCTCCCCCTTCTCTCCTCCTCCTCTCTCCTTCCGTTGACGGACTCGCAGGCCTCCTGGCAGTCAGTCTCGTGTGTCCGCACTCGTCAAGGCCATCAAGGAGGTCAAG